GTGTGTAACGTCTTTACACGAGGTTACAAATAGTGATACTATGTAAAGCGTTCCTTTCGATAGGACAGCTTCACTTTTCTGACACCCGACTGCTTAGTGACCTTCACGTCAATTGTTAAAGAGACTTGATGTGGAGACAATATCCTTTCCATGTAAATGAGCATCAGCCTTATACAATGTACCACATTTCCTTTGGCAACGACCATATACAAACCGTTGATATTGGTCACCTAGAACTATATAGCATCGTTTGAAATATGAAGATTCCTTGGTCATAGTATTTTATGAGTTCTCAGCCTTTTAGCTGCTGTAATGAACGGGTCCAACACGAACTCCTCATTAGTACTTTGATAACAACCTCCGTATATCTATATAGGAATCTTGTCACTTTTCAACTTTACAGCTAGCTCTACCGTTGAATGGCATGACTAAGAGTGAAGCTATCAATCATTCTTATTTCAAACCTTGTGTAAGTGAACTAAGAATCTTTCAACATTGACAGTTCCGCCAAAGCTTTGGGGATCATTCCGCTTCCTTTGTGCAGTGACTGTTTTAGGCTAAACAGTATCTGTAAAATCAAAGGTCTCGGTAAGAGACGGTGCCTCAAAACCTTCACAAATAGTACAAGCACCAATCACAGACCTTACATCATTCGAGACCTCGAATAAAGTGTCTAACTTACTACAAGAGAACCCAGAAACTTTGTTGTTTAGATCAAAACACTAATGGCGTTGGAGTGTCGTGTTCAACATCTCTCCCAAATGCTTCAATCACAGTAATTTCCTGCAATCCTCCGGTATCAGCATGTGACTAAATCTCACCTTGCCGTGCTTCTTGTTCATTGCACGCTGTTATTTAACTAACAAGTAAGACAATGCTTGTACCAATACTCTCAATCACACTTCCTCCACAGCGTTTGTGATACTGTCGAAATACTTTCTGTGTATAAACGTGATAGTCAGTGACGAATACAGTGACTTTGACATTTATTCAAGCAAGTATAACCCATGTTTATTTGGTATAAATTTAAGTTAAGAAAATCCTACAACTATGTACCATCAATTGTGATGAAGATATAAGATCATACGACATACACAGATAAAAAGACACGTATTCAAAACCATGACAACATAATTCTAACGTGCAATAATAACAGGTACGCTATGTATATGTTATGTTAGGGAACCCGCCTCTTACATCCGATACCGTTCGTTTGAAAACAGAAATCATTTCAACATTTTTATTAAGATATTCCCCAGATAATTGTTGCACTATAAAGCAATGGTGATCTGTGCTTGTTTGAAAGATCAAAACAGCATACGCTAGTATCAAATGAGTGAATTTAACTAACACCGTATTACAATGCATGCATATATTTGAAAAAAGTAGATATAAGAAAAGGAGTTATGACTTGTAATAGTCCATACTTCGAAAATCGTATTTATATTTAATTTTGAAGTCACATTAGGGAATGGATTATACCTGGTCTGGTAGATCTTACGAACGTGAGAGCTTGTGTGACGTCATCGTCTTTAGTGACGTCAAGTTTGATAACATGAAGCCTGTCTGACTGGCGTGCTTGTAAAGCCTTGGCCCCCGGGCTCTGTTCGCTGAGGACGCCGGCATACACTGTATACCCCTTGTCATCGAGTCGTTTTGCGAGATGGTGACCAAATCCTTAAGAATAGTTAATCAATATTGAGTATCGATATGATACACTTCCATTACTAAGGATACATTAACCATCTTCACAGCAGAATGTTACTGCACTGCCAATGGATATTTGTTAGAGAATAAATATTTAGTTAAAGTAATAATGTTTCTAATACATATATTATTTATCTATTCTATTTATGACATTTTCAATATATAGCTATACGAGTGTCGTAATATCATGTATTACGTAGACCCTCGAACCAGACATGCACACCCTTACGCATTCAAACACATATATGCTACAAAGGGCACCTACAAATATTCATTCTTCCCACACACAATAACACAGTGTACTCTCCTTTCCGTAGCAGCAGTACAACGCACAACACTCGAGGACTTCAAGGCACACATACCCTATGCAGCCTGTAAAGCCCTCAAACATTAGTACACATGCCAGCTTTTATCTTTTATCTTATACCCTGCAAAAAACGTCCAAAATAACTAATCACTGTAAATAATCCCTCTTTCACGCCAATGTACACATCTATTGAATGCAGCCTTTGTAAAAATAAGAAGTATACATATATGTATACATATAATTATTGACATTGTCAATCCTTACAAGTTAATAACCGTTTGACCTTACCTGTATCACATCCTGTAATTAAAACACCTTTTTGGCCTATGTCCAACTTACTCCGGTAGTTTTTACTGATAAGCCTTAAAGCAGAGTAGACCAGCAAGGTGGCCAGCAGAGAACTCCAGTAGCTGTATACAATATACACGTTAAGTAATATAAAACAAAAAACACAAGTGTTGTCAAACGACAACATGGTGAAAAATAAATGCAATACTACTACCTACAACGGAGTATGTCAAAGATAACACAGATCCTCCTATATTGACCGAGGTACTAACATTTAGACCACTTTATCTCACTAACAATCTTCTGATAAGTACAATAGATATGAAATTACAAATACACATGTACACCTGTCACACTCTATTATCATAAACAAATTATTAAATCATAATGTTTCAAATTATTGACATAAATTCTGATAATGAGATAAAAACTATATAAAGACATTAGAACAAATAATTGTATTTTTTTTTTTAAAGAATTGAGAAATTAAAATGACCGCTAATTAATAATATCCAATTAACTGTTAGCATATATACAAGAAAAGGAACCCTTTAAGGTTTTATAAAAAAACATAGCAAAGATGTTGCATATGTCATCTCAGCGATAACGTTACTCCGTTATATTGCTTCAGAATTGTTCGAATATCTGAACAATTAAGAATAAGAACTAGGTTCAAATTTATAAGTATACACCTATTTTTCATTACTTTTTGATTACACAATCCTTTTTCCTTTAGCTTTGTGTCCTCATTATTTATTTTATCATACATTTCTTTGTTAAAATATTAATTGCCAACAATTCAAAACAAATATAACAAAGACTATTTCATGAATGGGTTTCATGAAGTGGTGGTACACTTTTTTATCAATATCTTAATTGGCAGGTAGTCAACAATCTTAATCACTGTGTCAACACTTCCAAATAACATACCAACATCGTTTCTGTCGGTGGTGTTAGCTGATATGAATAAGCATGAACATAACCAGTGTATACGAGTCAGAAGAGGATAGTTGTTTTCTTTTTAAACAAAGAATTGTTTTGTGCAAAATATTCGTTTTAATTGCTCCGCTCTTCATCGCCAATTAAACGCCATTTCTGATAGCATAATCACGATACAAAGCCACAAATCTAAAAATATAGGAGGAATATTCCATTATCATAACCATTTTAATCATTCGCAAATTTCCCAATTTTTGATCATTTCGATTCACCAGCTCAGTGTATAATCTTTCCGCGTGTTAGAAAAGAACATTGTCATTAAACAATTTGCTCATGAAATCCCAGAATCCAGTACCTGGAACCTGAGTATTTATGACATTAGAAGGAGGATTGTTCAGACTACAAGTAAAATAAGTAATGAGAGTTATATGATACATTTGTTACAGATTAAACCCCAAGCAATATTGTGTAATTCATAAAGATCAATATGTAATTAACTATGGTTAAAGATTCTAAATACACCGGTAATATGTGCAGACAGGGAATTATTATATATCATAAAAATGTGCTTATGACAGCCTTTCTACACCAGTTTAGAGATAAAGTTTCATGATGAGATGTTCTACGTCTTAACCTCTTAGACCAGTGATAACGTCTATAGCTTCTATCTGTACATATTCTTACAGTTTCAACTAGCTAATTGTGCAGTTTTCCTGAATAATGTCTGCATATTTATGAATTGGTCTAATATATAAAAGTGTTCATACTGTTTTCCTGTCAGGTTTACGTTTGTACATTTTCGTTCTTACATTAAATCTTTTAATATGCTTTTGAATAAATCTTTTAAATGTGATAACTCTAGACTAGACCTTTCTAATGAAAAAAAAAATCCATGGTGATTTGATAAACAAAAATAAGAGGTTGGTAAATGATTGTGGTTTTTTTTGCAGCTAATGCTAGCATTGGGATTATAACTTAAAATTTGATCCATGAATGAATGGATCAATGATCATTTTCATCAATAAATATCGTCTGTAAATAGCGCAGTGTATGTACTTATATTTTGAATCATTTATAAACAATAACAAAGGAAAAAATAGAACCCTGAGGGACACCAGCATTTTCAACATTTTAAATCAATTTCATTTTTTTTTATATAACTTTTACATCAAAAATATATTACTTCTCTATTAACGCTTACACTATGCATGCTTAATTTGTCTATTTAAACACTATATTTAATTTCATTAAACGCGTTAATTTAACAAGTAAACTACAGCATCAAGTATTATAACAAGTAAACTATGGTGTGAAATATTATTTAACAAGTTACATATAGTTTAATCTATTACTGAACAGGTTAACTATGCATCAAGATTTTTTCTAGATCGATGCATTCTGTCGACCATTAAACAAAATATGCCTATAAAATTATATCAAAAAGCCGATGTCTGAGATGTCCTGATGCCGTTAACATAACCATAGATGTAACTTGGACTGCATGCTTATTTTCAGTAGTTTTAAAAATTATTATTGACAAATATTGTCATCTCAATATAAACCTATGACAAGTGTGCCACATTATCATAGATGTTACCTAGACTGTATGTTGATTTACACTATTTTCAAATTGATATTGACAAAACAATCATCTAAATACAAAAGCTACATGTATGACAGGCGTGACACATTGCATGTTCATAATCACGAATTTTCCATCCTCTTTAGTAAAATCATCCAAGCTTCCCCTGCTTATAGAGTTAACATTTTGTTGTTAACCCAGCTTAATATTTTCAAGTCAGAATTCCCTTAAAAGATCATACGAATTCCACTTCATCCAGCCGTGTATAGTTTATTGTACATTTTTATCTACATACAGCTGTAGACATACAATGGATGTTTATCCGACTATTATTATTTACAATGGTAGACAAAAACCTATCAAACCCAACGATCAACCGGAAGTAATAATTGTCAATAACATCAGATCCTCCATCCAATACTCAAGTGTAGATCTGATGCTGCGTACGTCATAGGCTGCGACACTTACAGTGTATGAAGGTCAAAGGTAACAGATTAAATGAATTAAATGTTACTCACTTATTGTATAGAATTATATTAAAGTCAAACAGAATGTAAATTCATTTAAACTTCCTCACAATTAAACTGTTAATTTTGATTGGGAAAAGAGGAGTATCCTGTTAGTCTGTCCACTATGATATCTGTGAGCCAGCTAGGTAGGAAACAGTAGACACGGGCAATCATCTACAAAACAAATGTTATCAATACATTATTGCTTAGAGATTATTTTACTGACAAAATAAGTTATACACTAATAAAGAGTAGTGCTACAAAAATGTTAATGTATAGTTGCTGTTCTTATTACAATTGCAGTTTTGTTTTGTTATTATTGAGATAATAGAAATATGGTAACGTTTGATCCTTACACACTGTATAGGGCTATGGTGTATATCTGGATTCCTGTTACAAAAAAAAACACAACAGTTTTTTGGTAGTTTGCCATATTGTCATTTTGTGATTTATTCCTATTTGTGGTCGCTAGGACTAACATTCCAGACAATGATTTTTTATCCTACGACGGTATGAATGTTTGAGATATGAGGTGAGTTTGTATACATGTTGCCCTAGTAACAGTAAAATTATGTCAATGCTGCCTGAGCAACAGTGACGTTATGTCAATGTTGTTCGAGCACAGTGAATTTTGTTGATGTTGTCATAGCAACAGCACCCTTGTTTAAATCTTTTTCCTCATGATAAGTCTTCCGGTTTTTATTAATTTTTTTTTGTATTTTTTTCATGTTTTTGTTTTGTATCAGCTAATCGTTATGTTTTTTCCGCGACACAGATCTATTACTGGTCTCTTTAATGAACAACTGCATGCTTAATTATTCATTTCTGTAATGTTTGAAAATATTGTTAACATGCCAGAACTATAAATTCAGTGTTTTATGAAAAAAGTATAACGACAATTTTATAAAAATTAATATATTTTATCATCTAAAATGAATAGTTAATTATTCATCAAATTGTATATGGAAAAGTCTAGCATCAGAATGAAGCAGAGTAATAGAATCAATTCCTGATGAGAGGTATGGATAGAGTAGCTTATTACCTAAAACCCGTAAAAACAGATGCTCTTATAGTAAAGTTGTAAATTGTCCGCACATTTCTCATTTGCATATGAAGCCCGGATGGTAATTGCTAATGACGTCAATGACCCTGACGGACCCCAAAACGTCTTAAAACGACGTCACGAACAATAGCGTGACCCCAAAAGGTAAGTCTGCGCATTTTAGCGATCCAGACCCGTGGGTCGGAAAGAATTTTCCAGCACCGCTGGAAATGTGGATATCTCGGTCTAGTATGCAAGAATGTGTAGACATGACCGATTGATGCTGCCTTAATGAGCCTGCCTTCTGTAAACTGCTTACATTAGATGTACTGTGAAAATACATAACGTTATGATTTCCATCAGCATTAATAGACAAATATTTCCTATAACACTTACAGCATAAATGTCGAGAAAATATCCTGGCACCAGGTACCTGATGTTGGGGTTTTCAGCGATGATGGCGTCCTCTATGGCATCACTAACGGGGCTCATGGATAGTTTCCCATCATTTTCAAAGGAACACTTCAACTTTCGGTGGAGGTAGTGTCGTCCGTATGTCTCCTTAACGTCCTCCGAGGCGTGGTCCCACATAAAGTCAACTTCTCTCTGGATCCTCTTCATCTACAGCAATAAAGCAAAAGGTTTACTAACCGAAGTTGTAAGTTTGATTTCCTCAGCTATATAGAGTGTTGGGAGATATATTTCCCGTATTAAATATAATCTGAAGTTTCCTTAAATACAAGATTTAAAATCAAATTATATTGATTAGTACAGAGAAACAGTCACTTGTGCATGTAGTGTAACTCTTTGGTAAGGTTAATGAAGTGATGTGACTTAGGTAGAGTCTAACACCCATACAGATTGGATTCTAAGATCCCTCAAAATATGATTGTCTCATAAATAACGTCCTTTTTATGGTTTATTTCTTCAATTTCATAATTCAAAACAAAAGTTCATTAAGAAAAGAAAAATCCATCTAAAACACACACGGACAAAATTGGTACAGTCTGCCAATAATTATACATAGAATAGTCTCAGGAGTAGTGAATCAATTTTGGCAAAACGGAAATTTGGCCAAACATAACGATCTATTATAGTTACTATTTCACATTAGAATGGTTAACACATGGAATAGATAATTTACCATATTATTTAGTACCATAATTTTATTTTTGCTGTGTCTTTCTGTGTTGAGAATACTGTTTTTTGTTTCTAGAATTAAATCGTATTCCTAGAAATGTTTTCCCATAATAACATTTGTTTGGCATTACCATTTCTCGTCCGCTAATAGCTGTTGCGTCAACAAAGTTTCCTGGCTCAACAATCACGACCTTGACCCCGAATTTCTTCATCTCCATTCTGAGAGAATCACTCAAAGTCTCTAAACCATGTTTGGTAACATGATACATCGAATCACTTGGCCATGAAAAACGTCCCCTTACACTCGAAACATTTACAATGCGTCCTAAAAAATAAAAACATCCCTTACAGTCGAAACATTTACAATTCGCCCCGAGGAAAACAAACAAGAATTCCACGAAAGTGTATGTGTCGCCTGCGCAGGAAGCTGGGAAATTACGAAGAAATAGATATACTTTTCATTTCAAGAAATAATGTTAAAAGTAAGCAATAATCATAGATCATGATTATGTTTTTGGATGGCATCATTTTGTTATATAATCTGTTATTCTGGGATGAATACTCTGAGTTTTGAGAAACATGCTATGGATACTAATTATCTCATTTCCAAGTTTAATCTGTATGAAAAGCAATCCTAAACAAGCACTTTTGGTAAGGAAGCACTGCATGAAGTTTGAGTTTGATCGGCCCAAGGAAACCCAAGTTATCGCACGAAAACAGATTTTCTATTTATAGTAACAGTGACCTTGACCTTTGACCTTCGGATCTGAAAAGCAATCCCAAGCAAGCATTTTTGGTAAGGAAGCACTGCATGAAGTTTGAGTTTGATCGGCCCAAGGAAACTCAAGTTATCGCACGAAAACAGATTTTCTATTTATAGTAACAGTGACCTTGACCTTTGACCTTCGGACCTGAAAAGCAATCCCAAGCAAGCACTTTTGGTAAGGAAGCACTGCATGAAGTTTGAGTTTGATCGGCCCAAGGAAACCCAAGTTATCGCACGAAAACAGATTTTCTATTTATAGTAACAGTGACCTTGACCTTTGACCTTCGGATCTGAAAAGCAATCCCAAGCAAGCATTTTTGGTAAGGAAGCACTGCATGAAGTTTGAGTTTGATCGACCCAATGAAACTCAAGTTATCGCACGAAAACCTCTGTGCGGACGACGACGCCGACGCCGACATAGCAATACCTATGTGTCACCAGTTTTTCGCAGGCGACACAAAAAATATCCTCTTACACTCGAAAGATTATATATAATTCGTCCTGAGAAAAACAAAACATCCCTTACGCTCGAAACCTTTACAATTCGTAATGAGGAAAATAGGAACATTCCTTTCTACTCGAAACATTTACAATTCGTCATGAGGTTTTCTGTTTAAACAAATGGAAAACACACACGATAGAAAGAAATTATTCACTGAGACTGTCTGTTGGAAATCAGAAAATGTGACCCGTCAGTTCCAAGTCCGGATGTAAATATGAAGTAAACATTTATACAACAAAGTTCTTCTTGTATGTGATGACGCAAGGATAAAAGGTCCATATGGCAAAAAGAATCAACTAAGTTAAAACCTGACATATGACTTCGTAATTATTCTGTTACACCTTAATATATTACAAAGATTGTTCTTACTACATTACTTTACGTTATACACATATCACTTTGTACATTCGCGTTATAATACCACTTTTGATTTGCAGTCTATCGATGAGTGGAATGCATGCCAGATTAACAACAGTTTTAAAATGGCTAGACAAATTGTGTGATTTTCGTCCGTTTGCATCTAGGGGTGAGTGGCAGACATACTTGACTTACCTTTAGATCTACGAATGAGTGGAAGGAAAGCCCGAATAACACGTATTGGACCGTACAGGTTGACTTCAGCACATTTCTTGTACTGGTCTACTGTCGCTAGCTCCACGTCCCCCGGCATATTAATGCCTGCATTGTTTACCACTGCCCACAGATCTGGATCAATACAGACAAGCAAACGGGGTCAAACAATGGGTTTACTCTTTTAAAAAGACTTTGACAGAATGTGTCTTGTTTTAGGAATATTGAATAAACTTTATATATACTAGATATGCATCGTGTGTCTATTGTGTTTAAAAATGTGAGACACATAGTATGACTAATGACAGAGATCGGTTTAATTACAGCAAAAACAAAATTGATCATTGACTTTAAAGGATCGACATGTTTCTTCTGAATATTCATGGTGGTATGCAAAACAGTTGCGTTGAACTGTATTCTCCTAAAAGTACGGTCTTGCCATCATAAGATTTATTTAAGAATTGTTTTATACCAATCTACATTAATTGGCATGTAATTAGTAAGTGTGAGTTTAATTTAACCACTGCACCGGACTTTTGACATTTGGACAGATACATTTTTGACTTGGGGCCCACACCCGTCAAGATGTCAAAAGACAGGTGTTAAGGCCAGAGAAGACACATGCTAGTATTTATTTAAAGATAGATAGTATTGGAAATAGCGGAATATACTCTGATTATGATAAAAAAATCATCTTCGAAAACTAATGATTCCACTTTTATTGATATTTCCTCTGCGCTCTTCGAATATGACATGACAAAGTTCAATGCTCACGGTAGGCCTTTTGAATGTTTCAGACATTGACAAATGTGACCAATCGCTAGACTGATATCATGCCTTTGAAAGTTTCAGAGGAGCTACACAAAATCAAAGGCGATCAATTTTATCGTAATACTGCCGTGTACTTCTTTGGATCTTTTATCAAAGAAATCAAGTTAACAAAAGAATCAGTTTCAATTTCTAAACAATTAATACAATACAATTTATTTCGATGACGTTCACCTATCATGTAGTGAAGAAGTTAAGACCTTTTGAAGATTTTCACTTGCTATTAATAGAAAGTTTTTTCCAGCGCATTCGAATTCTGAAAAAAAGTACGTGCCTCTTACTAGATTTACAAAATAAAGTAATGTTCGACTTATACCGAATCTGATTGACATAAACACATTTCCTTTGATTTAAAAGGAGAGCGAGAACACCGCCCATTGTGAATTTTTAATTTCAAATTACCGACACAAAACTTGACTAACGTTTCCTATGTTAAAGTTGACAACAGTATAAGGGGTTCTAGAGTGAGTGCAGAGTAAACATTAGTTAACCCGTGTCATCCGCTAGGAGGCGCGTCCAGAGCCTTCGATTTCATCCTGACATGCATATATTCCAAGGCTATAGAATACATATGTATGTCGAAAACAGAACCATTGGATTTCAAAAATAGAGAGAAATTTAGTAATCAAATGCTTATATATGTCGGCAAGTGTAGTTCATTTCCATGATAAGCAATTTCCACAAATTACTGATGGAACTCGAACTCAAACAATAAGCATATGTCTTACTACATGTACTAAACACTCTGACAACGGGAGCCTCGTTGCTGCAATGAATGACCGTTTGGTCGTGATCGCTAAAGCCCACAATCGTTACTCTGTATGCAAATAAGCTTTAATCATGAAATGGTTAATTATAACTACATTTGACAGACAGTAGTAAATGAACACCATATCAAATAACCTCATATATGTTTTTGTGTGTATATTTAAATTAGTAATCAAACCAATAAATTATTTATATAATTAAATTGTATTTGTTTTGATAAGTAAAATTTTAAATGGTGTTTTAATGAATGAAGGAACTGGACTGAGTAGATCGCCGCCGACTAGGTAGCTAATATAAATCAGTTGGCGCGTCGTGTAGAGTTCGGAGGTCACGAGTCACAGTTACAATAAATATATTCATATACAAGTTTTTGAAAATCACATTTAAAAAAGCCCAACTATTTTTGAAGGTTTTAGCATAAACATTTGATTGAATTTAACACATTTAAACCACAGAGCAAGAAACCACCATCATAATAAGTTAAAATAAGTTCCTGTGTACAACTTATTTTATAGAAGACACGAGCTAATTTTCAAGGTGAGTTACTTCCCTTGCATTGCATTCAGCACAAAGACCTAATCATACACTTTTAGTTACCTGCTTTGTTGTTATTGGTCACATATTCTAATGATTTATTAACGTCTTCCTCTTTCGTGACATCGAGTTTGATGACATGTAGGTTTTGTGATTTTCGAGAACGTAAGGCCTCGGCCCCGTCGCTGTTTTCATTCAAAACCCCTGCGTATACCGTGAAGCCCCTGTCGTCTAGACGCTTGGCGATGTGGTGTCCGAATCCTGTAATCAGTTACCAAATGTACATTAATCAAGTGACACTTGCACTTAGTTTCGTGATGAATTTTCTTATATTTTATCCACATAATAAATTACTAAAAGGATTTGAATACAAATAAGGCTTTTAGTCATAATATAGACATGAATGTTATAATACACTGTACCTGTGTCACATCCTGTTATTAGAACAGCTTTCCCTGCGATGGTCAGTCTACTTTTCATTCTGGTCAGTCGATAACCTAAGTACAGTAATACCAGCCCTAGTGACCATTTCCAATAGGTGACTAAAACGTAAACATTTAGTAGACAGTATCCTATAAACAGCAAGAACTCAGTGTGGAAATGCGCCATCGTATAACTAGGTTATAAGGTCGACATGTGTGGATAGGCTAGTAGCCGCACTGGGCCAGGGTAACTTCAAATCGTGTTTACCTCATGTGTGGCACTAGGCTCATATATATATAAATGCTCATATTAAAACTCAAAGCTCATTTAATACTGAACCAAGTTTTGTTTTTAGAAACCAACCTAGGCCAGATATCATAATATGCTATTCTTTCAAAGTACATACCGTTTATAACTAGATTATTAAAATACATAATTTGTATAGTAGTTAAAGGTCAGAACCACAATATGTTCCTAATGATGACTCCACTACCGGTCGAGGAATTGGGACAAGTTAAATTTTCATACCATTTAACTTCTATCATATAATTATTGTTATAAACTAAGATTCAAATATTTTCACCTGTTTAAAAGTAAACAATGAAATGCTATCAACAAATATATCTCCCGCGCTGTAGACATGTCAGGATTAGACAGTTAAGTGGAGATGTAGCATACCGCGCACTTGTGAATGGTACAGGGCATTACAATTCATATGGATACACCTTCCCCGAATAATATTTAAAACCAATGCAACAGTACGATAGCCTGGCTACCAGCCCCAAAGTTTTTATGAAGGATGACCTGGCTGCATATGACTACTAGCTTATCTCCCCCTAGTTTAGAACATAGAATCAGACATCCAGGTGATAAAATTATTAAAGTAAATTATTTTTTCTAAATGATTCAATATTCTAGAGATGGGGGCAAGTCTAGATAGCCGACAGCGACCGCCAAAAAAACCCTTTACAAACTCACTGTTTTTTGTTCATGTACATTTTCTGTATGGACAGAACAACTACATAATATGCAAAATATGTACATGTTTGAAACTTGCACATGTACAGTACAACCGCGCATTATTCCATATCACTCCATACTTAATAGAAAGTTTTTTAAGGTCTGAGTCGAGAAAAACATACCAGCTGGACGTGATTTACGGAGTGATATGTGATATGGCGTGGTTTTGCAAATATCGGTATTTTTTTAAAAGCTTAAAGCTCTTGCCTGAAGAAGAACATACATTTGCAAAAGAAAACGAATTCCAGAAAACAAAATGTAAGTACATTATGTACTTATATCTTTATCTTTGTTGTTGATATATGCTAGTTCAATTTAATATTTCATTAATTTAACTTCGTTCAATTATCTTTGTTTACCAGCAAGAAGAGTTACCAAAGATATTACTTAATGGCGTGGGGACGGATTAGACAACTGTATCCAGTACATAGTTACACAACCCGTCGGTTAGAAATCTCAAGCTTATCAGCCAGTTAGGAACGGCTTGCTATAAAACATGGCCTGGTCTGTGATAAACCTTATCAGCCAGTAAGGAACGGCATACTACAAACCTTAGCCTGGTCTGTGATAAACATGGTCTGGTCTGTGATAAACCTTATCAGCCAGTAAGGAACGTCTTGCTATAAAACATGGTCTGGTCTGTGATAAACCTTATCAGCCAGTAAGGAACACTTGACCCGTCTGGTCTCGTCGAAAGAAGAAGGTACAGCAACTAGAATAAACCATTTTAAATACAAATACCAATCAGATTAATACTGACACATTTACCTTTTATTTTAACAGTTAAAACATGTTAGAAGTGCATCACGGGGAAAAAATTTACACGAGGACCATGGAAAAGTACAACGACAATATGATCACGTGTCCTGGAAGGTTAGAGGTCTTCTGCTTCATCGACAACACCCACAGTGTCATATCATTGTAATATCAAGCCCTCCAACGAAACGAACAAGACACACCTATTAGTGTAATAAGAAAACATCGACCTTTCATATTACAAGTAAATAGCATATTCCCTATATATATATGATGACGACCATAAACAGGCACATAGTAAAATATGATCATTCCACTTCAGATTTTTAACTTAGAGTATTCTAAATATATACAGAAGATAAAATAAAAAAAAGTGTTTTACTTTCTTTATGTTATCTTCTCTCACGGTAATCATCACTCAATTCTACACGTTGCATTGATTATATATCATCGATTAATATTGGTAAGGTGTAGGATTGGTGGAGAAGTCCCCAGCTCGACTTGTGTGCCTTCTTGGTGTTGCTTTTTTGTTGTTGTTGCAAATATTCAATTTTATTACCGTTGTGGTGTGGCAATACATATTTAACCTGATCGTACGGTAGGTCTTGACACTTAACCTATCAATGTTCGGGCACCATAGATAAACAAGATAGTGACTGTGATCCCGATTGTGACGTCACGAAGTTTAAGTTACCGCAATGGTACACTTAATGTTTGAGTTGCTGCTGTTTATTTCATTCTGTCTGCTCCATATTTACGTGGTCATCACTAACTGGAAATGGTCCTTCGGACTGATCGTACTGTACATGGGTCACCGGCTGACCACGGTCAGGAGTAGACTGATCATCGCTGGGAAAGCGGTTCTTATAACGGGATGTGACACAGGTACAATATACTATTAAATTAGTCTACACGTCACAATTCTGTGTAGTACTATCGATTGTCGATATGTGTCTGAACGGGTAGAACTTCCAACTACGCTAAAAACAATGTCATGAATACACTTACACGTTTCGGCCGCTATCGGCCATGGCAACTTAATTAGTGCACATCAACATAATTTCTTATAGTTTATCTTTGCGTACGTCTCACACTGACACGTTACAAGCGCTGTGTTTCAATGTCATAAACAGGCAGTGATGATATGTAGGTGATGCTGAAGGCTAGGCGTAGAATGCGTCAAAAGAAATTATCAGAAACGCTGTAGAAAATGTTTTGATGGATAGCAAAGATGAGAGAAAGAAACTCTTAACATTTACATCCCTAACCATTCACAATACTTGAGACATGGGACCTCGAACATTTATTTAACAGTTATAAAGACAAAGAACGATTAATATGATCGTTTCTTCAGCTGATTACGATCGAAGGAATTTGTTTAGTTGTTCACAACAGAATTAGAAATGTCTTACTAAAGAATGACTAAGATGGAGCAGTCTAACACTAAATTAAGCCCGAGATATTACGATTATATGATGTAGTCTATGTACGTCTTCTTGTAATAATGAGGATACCAGTAACAGATAAGTACATGTTATCGTATTTATTTATTGATAATTTTACTTTAATAAACTTCGTTTTTGGTGATCAATAAATTAACTTGTCAAACACTGTTGGCATACACTTTCATTATTGTAATGCATGCTTTATATTCATAGCATAACAAATATTAGGCGAACCTCTGTATGTAGTTCTTTTGTTTATTCGATAAAATAAATTATTAAAGCAATAAACGTTTACAGGATTCGGATTCCACATCGCCAAGCGTCTAGACGACATGGGCTTCACGGTATACGCAGGAGTTTTGAATGAAAACAGCGACGGGGCCGAGGCCTTACGTTCTCGAAAATCACAAAACCTACATGTCATCAAACTCGATGTCACGAAAGAGGAAGACGTAAATAAATCATTAGAATATGTGACCAGTAATAACAAAGCAGGTAATAGAATGGAGGTTAACAACGGCCGTTAAACCGTAATAATCAAAAGAGGTAATAGAGTAAAATCAAAGGAGTTAGGAGAGTAAGATCAAAAGAGTTAGTAAAGTAAGAACAAAGCAGATCATTAAGTAACAATAAAGGAGGTAATAGAGTACAAACACCGGAGGTAATAGCGTTACATCACAGGGAGTCATTGAGTAACAACAAAACAAATTATAGAATAACAATACAGGAGGTAATCAAGTAACAAACCAGGAGGTAATATAGTAACAAACTAGGAGGTAATATATAAACAATACAGGAGGTTATATAGTAACAATACAGGAGGTAATATAGTAATAATAAATGCGGTAATATAGTAATATTACAGGAGGTAATATAGTTACAATACAGGAGGTAATATAGTAACAAACCAGGAGGTAATATAGTAACAAACTAGGAGGTAATATATAAACAATATAGGAGGTTATATAGTAACAAAACAGGAGGTAATATAGTAACAAACCAGGAGGTAATATAGTAACAAACCAGGCGGTAATATAGTAACAAACTAGGAGGTAATATATAAACAATACAGGAGGTTATATAGTAACAATACAGGAGGTTATATAGTAACAATACAGGAGGTAATATAGTAATAATAAATGCGGTAATATAGTAATAATACAGGAGGTAACATAGTTACAATACAGGAGGTAATATAGTAACAAACCAGGAGGTAATATAAAACAATACAGGAGGTAATATAGTAACAAACCAGGAGGTAATATAGTAACAAACCAGGAGGTAATATATAAACAATACAGGAGGTTATATAGTAACAATACATGAGGTAATATAGTAACAATACAGGAGGTATTATAGTAACAATACAGGAGGTAATATAGAAACAACAAAGACAGTTATAGAGGTAATCAAGTATCAACGCAGGAGATACATTATATTAGAGTAACAGCAATAAAGGAAGTCATAATGCAAAATGTACTTGGTAATATAGCATCAACGTTCACACACATCCTTATCCCTAGATGTACATACATGAGGTAGCTACAATTGGGTTAATTCTTAGATTGACAAACGTTTATGACAAATGATAAAATATCCATACCACTATATGTTATTTTTACATACGACAACATGGTACAGTTTGTATGTAGGCCGTGGTATCTGGTAAGGTAGCAGCAGGTGTAGGTTTAAGTAGAGACGCCTCATGCTTTAGTCACCAGTTCCGTTCAACATCAAGGTCACTCGGTCAATTACATAACCGTTATAGATGCCGTTTATGCTTCCAATAAAACTAGCAAACCTTGTTTTTACCACATTCATATATCTGCCTCGATACTCTCTCTTACAATAACACTGTATCTTATCTCTGTTCTTAATCATTAGCTTAAACATTGTTCTGTTCATATATTTTGATTTTCGTTTATGATACATTGAAATACAAAATTGTACATTGCATTATATGAAAAAGAAAAGGAAACAAAAATGTCAAGATACTTATGTAACTCATTATGTAAATTACGTTCTTAATCATATTATGTGTCTTTCTTTTAAATAAATCAACACATATAAGACTTATTCAAAATTTCAAAAAATCAGACATTCTTTAAGATCATGCTTAAAATAGATTGCTTAAAATTGCTGTTACCAAGTTACATTTGTTAGTATTGATCCAGATCTGTGGGCAGTGGTAAACAATGCAGGCATTAATATGCCGGGGGACGTGGAGCTAGCGACAGTAGACCAGTACAAGAAATGTGCCGAAGTTAACCTGTACGGTCCAATACGTGTAATTCGGGCTTTCCTTCCACTCATTCGTAGATCTAAAGGTAAGACAGGCATCCCCCAAATCAGATATTTTACTGACACTTCCGCAGATTTATTGGAAAGTCATGGTTCCCTCAATCATATATTGTACTCGCATATCTGTAGATATAATGGTTAATCAGGTATCCCCACCTCAGATATAATTGTTACACATCTGTAGATCTAAGGGTATCAATAGGGGGAAATAATTTAAGTATCTTAAGGTGATAATCCGGAATAATTGTGTAATTCCTAAATTAAGCGATGATCCCTTGTGGACATTTTTGTCGTGTTATCTCCCCAGGCATTGCAAGCTAATTAGCATGCTTATAAAACTTACGGAAGGAGTAAAGTAGAGTGCGTTATTTTTACTTCTCTAGTGAATACAGATAGCTGAAGAATATGTTTTTACCTTTACAACGATATTCTTTTTATTGCATGTTCATCAAGACATCATACATGAACATTGTAAAATTCATCTGATATTATACCAGAAACGTGTTGTACATTTGAGCATTATTTTTTAAATCATGTTGTTTTGTTCTGCTGGTTTAATATTAAATGGTGGCTCCATGACCTAATACATCAACGCAGATTTCCAGGTATATATTTAATAAGGTAATACATGTATCTGCTTCAGGACGAATTGTAAATGTATCGAGTGTGATGGGACGCTATTCCTCGCCAAATCAGTCAATGTATCATGTAACCAAACATGGTATAGAGACTATGACCGACTCTCTCAGAATGGAGAACTTCGGTAACGCAATCTCATTAAAATCAGATGTTAATAAAAAAAACCAACGTGATAATGAACAGCTGTATTTATTCAGATTGTCGGTAACGCAACATCTATCAACGGGCCAGACATGGTAATGACAGGAGAATTTACAAAAAAAAAGAAAAGAAAAAGAGAATCTATCTGATAATGGCAGAATAGCTTTATGATAGTGAAACATTGCCCAAAATTATCAAGAATACATAATGATACATTGTGCAGATGCTGCCCTTATAAAACTTATCAACCTAGAACTATAGTACATGTAATGGACGATATTACTATGTTTGTGTAGATGAAGAGGATCCAGAGTGAAGCTGACTATATGTGGGACCAAGCCTCGGAGGACGTTAAGGAGACATACGGACGACACTACTTCTACCGAAATGTGGTGCACACATTTAGCAACCAGGAACAGGTACCTATAAGCCCTGTCACTGAGGCGGTAGAGAACGCCATCATCACTGAAAACCCCAACATCAGATACCTGGTACCAGGATATTATCTCGACAAATTTTCCGTAAGTAGGTCTAAGGAGCATATCTCTGCTATAAATGGTATTAAGCGTATTTAAAGCATCAACATATATCCGGTATAGCTGAAGATATCAAATATTATGTATTACAAGTATTTTTATTGTTTGGTTTGGTCTTAAAGGTTTAACGTTCTATCATCATCTAAGGTCATTTAAAAAAGGGCGTTCATGTGTGTAGTGTTTGCATGCATTTGTGTACATGTATGTGTGCAGGAGGGATGATATGTTGGTTTAATTGCCTCCTTTCGATAGCGTGGATCTGATGCCGGCTTTATGATGCTATCTCACTGAAATACCATCCCGAAGGCACCCAGCACAGCATTCCGCCCGGCCACATTACACTGACAACGAGTGACCAGTGGTTGTCTGAACTGACATCTAGTCGCTTAGGAAGTTAATAGTATTAGGGATGTAAATTATGGTATTTGTATTACTGACCCTGTATATGAATACCTGTATTTTGTTAAGTTGGGCGTCTTTTCCGTTTCAGTAATATCACAACTAATATGTTGATTTTATCTATTCTGAAGATACTTGGGCTTGTCTACTGTTTCAGGAATATTTTAACTAATAGGTTAATTTCATCTATTTTGTAGATACTTGTGTCTACTGTTTCCTGCCGAGATGGATTACGGATATGATAGCGGACAGAATAACTGGATACTCATCTTTTCCCATATGACATTAATGGTGTAATTATTGAAAAACATTTAAAAGAACACATCACATTCAACTGACATGGAAAAATACATCTTTCAAGTTGTGAATAAATGTTATCTATCATATTGTAACTGCATTCACTATTGTGTTGCAGCCTATCCCATAACAAACGTTGAGATATATGTTGGAGCGGGCTTATTTATAAACAATTGGGTGACCGTCGGCTGAAATGATGTGATTACACAATACGCTATTGAAAAGTGTAATTGTAAATTTGGCCTTGAACATGAAACAATTTACATTATAATTCATAAGACATTTTAATGACCTATCTCTGAAAATGATTATGTCCACAATGACGAAGTAACAATTCAGGAAATGTTAATGAATAAAATATTATGTTATATTTCTTATTTTGGAACTCTGATCTTAGAACCTTTTTCTTTTTTAACATTGTATGATATACATGATCACACATTATTTCACAATAAGGAGATCACGTATACATAAACATAATTGAAATATCCTTTTATCACTATCTTACTCATTATTCTTTAAGTACTTTCTATAATCCGTATCTTACACCAGTCAAACATAGACTCGTTAATAGCTTATCTTTAAAGTTTTAGCTTAGCATTTAACATGGCATAGCATAACAAATAATAAAGCTTATAGGCATGTCACTTTGACGTCATATTCTCAACCTGATTAAAAGTACAAACAGTTCTATCAAATGAGCGAAGGTATTGTGTATTTTACTTTAAATGCGTTATGTTACCTTTAATCTGTTTAAGGAACTTACAAGACCACATTTGGACAAATGCATATTATCTGCTTCACGTGTACTTGATGCTGAAGTATTTGTTTAATATGATAAGAATTGTTGTAAAGCATTGTTGTAATCCAATAATCACATATCTCTGTATTGTCCTATGGTTAACAATTTACCAGGACAAGAAGAATTTTCTGACGATCACATTTGAAATCAAAAGATTTCCATAACTTGTTTAATTTTGTTCTACATGTGCTTTGGGTAATAATGACGAGAATGTCTTGTATGTTTGATTATCAAAACGTGATAGTTTTAAGGTTAGCATTAGTGTATTCATTTTATTAATCGATGTCTCATAAAGAGTTGTTCTTTCAGAAAAAAATATTTCTTTGTTGAAAATCTTCAAGAATTGAAGACTCTTGATTACGTCATGAGAGGAGAGGCGAAGAAATCCTAGCAAATGACGTAGGCGTATGACATGTGTTAATAAAAAACTTAGGTTAGACATGATTTTATTTGGTATTCTTAAAAATAATGTCGTTAATAATAACTTTCGATTGAGTTATAACAGAATTGATGATATGAATATCATAATACGTTGTAGGATACAGAAATTGCTAGGTCATTACTTCCTATTTTGCTCTATGAAATTATATCTTACCTGAGGTTGGAATTATAGGATTAAGATCAAAATAATAAACAAATGTTGTGTTTATTTATTGTCTATCATATCACGTCATAGTAACCGTGGTTGTGGGTGAAATCCAGGTCATACGTCAGTCAGATTGTTTACATAGCAACACTTACTACCTTATCAACTCGTACTTAGTTTATTAAAATTGGATAAAATGGCCGGTGCTGATTGAATAAATATAATCCTTTGTTATGCGACATATCTTTTACGGAATTTTTTCCGCAAAGATATGGTCGATTTTTAACCTGGTATACACATTTATAATGGAGCAATGGATTATGAAAGTTTTTCTTCCTTTTCAAAATAAACAATACAATGTTTTTCCTCTTGAATATTCTTGCCTTTATGACATATAGTCACTTTTCTGTTTTTAGCTCTTCCCGTATTTTATGACGCCTAGTTCACAAAATAATACAATTTACGAATTTACTCTGGAATCCGACTGTCGCATTATGATTTCGACGCACAAAGCTGACGGTGACTTACAATGGTATGTTACGTTTTATTTAGATGTTAGTTTGAATGTATGTCAAACTGACTTGAAACATAAACAGAACATTAACGATATACAAAAAGAAATACGTACAGTTCTGTAGACGTACGTGAACAGAACTGAGAAAACTCAACAACGAAAACATAAATCAGAAATAACTTCTTAATCATGTCTTCAGGATGGTAAAAATACATGATGTTTTTAACTGGTTTCTGTTAATATCGCCATAAACTTATTTCAATCATTATGTTTAACACAACTTTGAATTTAATGTATTTTAGCGTTGTTTATCATGTTGTGTTTAACATAACTTTGCGGCGTCTATCTGGTAAAAAGGGAGATGAAAAACTGAAGAATTATATATGAGTAGAAATTAGTTCGACTTCTCGTTCCACTCTACCCTTCATTATAATAAATTAGTGTTGATGTTTTATGTTCATAGAAAAAAACAGATTACAAAAACAAAAATATGTTGAGTTTTTGATTGGGCTCTGAAATGAATATATAAAAAGCATGCAAACAAGAAAAATGATTAGAAAATAAATAAATCGCAAAAAATAGAACAAGTAGTAAAGTCAGGTCCAGTAAATGAAAATAGTGCCAGAGATCAAGCAGATATACCCCAAAATTATAAAGTGACTTGTGAAGACCCCGCCATAGGGGCGAGTGTTTCACGATACTCCGGAGTAAACTCTTCTCAACTAGGAAGAAAGGACAATCTCACATCAATATTAATTGTTAGGCAAATGTAAATGAACATCAAAGCGAAGATGATATAACGCGAACACCCGAGTTCACCTTATCATGACTAACCCAACTGACGAGATGGCCGAACAATGGAGTGTCAACAAAGCGTGAAAAGCCGTGTTTCTATTGGTCGTGTTAAACGCGGATATATAATTTACATTTTGGTAACGCTGAAAACATATTAACAAAACTAGGTTTTCCTTATTGGTAAAGTTTAAAAATTACATTATGCTTGCATTTGTTATCAATACTTAAGCCCAGAGGTAGAGGTGATGAGCCTTAGACCTGGCACTATTGGAGTAAAAGTGATCCAGAATATGACTACATCATGTGTAATGGATGTGATTTTGAGAACACCAGATATGAATGAAACCACTGACTTATGCTTGAATCTTATTAGGTCAAAACACGTGGAGGACGAAATCTGCGAAATGTAAGGTGTATCCATCATTATTTCACTGGTTTTTTTGGTTGTTTTTTTCAAAATTGTTAATTTCGTAAAAGTTACATAGGGTTCATGTTGTTCCTTCTTTCTAATTTTGTTATGGAAATCAGAAAATGGACACTATATAATCTTTTTGCAGAGGAATGGACAACAGAAGATGTTACAGTGTATCACTGAGGGTTAATACCACCGGTAAGTCAATGCACGTAGCAGAAAGTGACAAGGCGTTGTCAGCAACAAGGTATGGCAATACTTTCTGTCAGTGTCAGTAGCAGATGTTGTGCTTTATACATGTCAAATATTTACCAAACACATGGAGAAGAATAAAAAAACCTCCACACTACTCATTTTGGAAACTTATCACATTTTTCATATTTATTGAATATAATTTGAATCAATTTAAAACTATTTCTATTTTGCATTCAGAAAGTACACATTCTTAATCTACATTTCAGTTACTAGTCCTTGTGCGAGTGTTCACTGTTACAACGGTGGCTATTGTGACTCTAGACGAGATATATCTAACTGTCTGTGTCTTCTAGGGTTCTCCGGACAGTACTGTGAACAGCGTAAGTGAATAATTCCAGTTTAGTATAATCATTGGGTGTGTTACCGCTACCTAGTTCTTTAAAGGTAATGGTTTGAATGTGGTGCGATTCAAGTCTCATTTACACGTTGATTTGAAGAACTTGTCCAACTTTCTGTCTGGAGTCGGTTAAGTACACATACAACTTTGTAACTTGGTAGATAGAGTATAGAAAGGCCTTGGGCGGGTTCTCTGTTCTGTAACATTCAAATGAACTGTGTAACCATTTATCGTAAAGCGCCTTAGAGTCGTATGATTAATTTTAAAAAGATCTGTTTCAGTTCACCCTGGAAATCATTTTAACCCGAGCGCTGACACCCACATGGTAATATACTGGACTATAAGTCTGTCTGATATCCCTTTATGTACATGTATATTAAGTTATAACAGGCCATTTTTATTTCCAAGGAATGAGGGAATATAATTTGTAAATGCCTAAGTATATATTGTATAAGTTTTTCCTTTTTATTATTCATAAAACCATGTTTTTTACAAATGCACTTTTTATTCATTGAAATGAAGTCATCACTTTGTATAAGTTGCTATTGCAGTCAACTCCATGTTTCAGAGGTTTGCAGACGACGCATTTCCCAGCAACATTGCATGTCAGGTGGATAAAAAATGTTCGTTTATCGTCGATCTGTGGGGCCCTGACAACTTATGTACGTTACTAAGAATTATGTTACTATCGTTGTTCGTCACTAAATATTGCATTTATATTAATTTACGTCATTAAGTGTTACTGCAGTTTTAATGTAGGTCATGAAGTATGTTTTCCTTCAACATTGATGTGTGTCACTTAGCATACACTGATGATATTAATGGGGTCCAGGTGTACATGACAATACTTCAGGTTAATAGATTGTCTATGCATTTCTAATTATAATATTGTGTATTGAATAGTACATGTTATCATATAAACAAGTTTATGCTAATAGATAAAGATATATATCTGTATATATAATAACTTTTTATTAACTAAATTAATGTATATGGTGAATTGCTCACGAGAGGATTTTGTACTACAGACGAATCTTTCTTTTTTTTAAGTCCCACTGTATGGTTTGACCACGTTGATAGCTCTGTCATTGCGGAGAGGCCCATCATCAATCCTACCACTAAGGCATTGCCTGGAATTTACTCCGTGATTATCACAGTGAACGGAACAAAAGTTGGGACGTTTGAAACATTCTACAAACATCTGATGACACTGGGTAATGTGCTAGGACCTTATGCGTCACTTATACTTCTTCTTATGACCAGTTACTCACCCAATATGTCTTATATAATGTTATAGTATTTAAAATGTGACATATGCGAAATTGATAAAAAATATATATACGAGTTCCCTCTTTTCAGTAATACAAGTGTTATATTTGAGTAAGAATTTTGTGTTTGTATATTGACGCTGTGGTATGAAATAGATCTAAATTTATAAATACATCTACACTTATATGTCATATTAGAGCTTAAGAAAAGTACAGTGTTAAAATATCTTTTGTGATATCATCGTTTTTAGGTTTGATATATTGTTGTTGCTTGTAAATAGTTACAAACAACTGAATTTACATAAATGTGTTTGCATTAAATTTACCTATTCAAAGCTGCAGAGCTAACTCGG